AGGGCAGGAAGACCCCGGGGCGCCCCCGGAGGGCGGGGGCCTCCCGCTCCCGCCACGACCCTCGGCGCAAGGAAGGGCGCTCCGCTCGCCACGGAGGGACGCGCCGAGGGCGGCCCTTCGGAACAGAACCGCGGCGCGTCGGAAGCGCCCGAGCGAGACGGAGGGGGCCGAACTCGGTCGTTCTGTTCCTCTCCTCGGTGATTTGTTTTGTAAAAGAAAAGAGAAAACACACCACGCATCTTGCCAGCGTCACGAGCAGCATTCGCTTTACAGTGCAACTTAGCAAAATCTGTGTTGTCCTAACCTTTGTACAAGTGCTATCATTCACACGGGGGCGTGTGTTCACCCGCGCACGAATCACTTCTAGAAGATAAACAAAATAAGCAGAACAGGCGAACCCTAATTAACTAAGAATATAACCAGTCACTACGGCAACCTTCTACAGATACAGACTAAAGAATCATTTGTAAAGAGAAACATGGAATATTTTAAATGAAATAATTAACATTGTTTACCTCCTCAGTGATTAGTTTTGTAACAGAAAAAGAACAATCAAAAATGCAGCCTTCCTTTTTGCTGAAGTCATGAACAACTCAGACTTATAATGCAATTTACAAACTACATTTTCTTATGTTTTTCTGTAATATGTAAACTCTAGCAAGTATAATACAAAACAAAAAGAACATGTTTAACTATGGTTAACGTTTTGCAAAAAAACCCTAAAACTTTCTTAAACTGAATCTGGTGGAATATTGTCCTTATCTGAATCCTATTAAAACTGAAAGCAATTAAAAGTTCAGTTTCAATTAAATCCTATTCCAGTGTTTTCAAATTGACTTAAATAACAAGTAAGGTCCATCAGATTCTATCTAGGACCACAACATTTTAAATTTGTGATTAAACGTTTTACACAATAAAGACAAATGTAAAGAAGAACACTTAAGAGAACCCTTGAAGGAAGCTGAGAACGGCTTCTTCGTTTTGCTATGGTTCATGAGCACATAGATGTTGTACGTGGTTTAAAAAAAAAAAAAACGTAGCTTTCCATTTATTACGTGCCCACCACAGTAAAGTAGATTCAAAAATTTGCCAATTTTCAGAGGCTTGTTTGGAGGCTGATGTCTTCCTGCAGCGATTCCCTGAAAAGATACAGGGAAAATAAATGGTTAATCCCAGTGCACATCGCAGTACATTGTAACAGCAGGAGAGCACATAGGAGTTAGCTCTGTTGATTTTAACCCCGCAACTTATTTATTTATTCATTCATTTATTTATGTATTCATTTATTTAATTTCTGTAGATGCCCATCTCAACCAAGTGACTCTTGGTGGTGAAAACAATTCTAAAACAATGAAAACAATGAAAAACAATACAAAAATAAATATATACAGCAGCCGAGAAAAATTATAACCATAGATTCAATATAGCCAGGAAATGGGGCCCTTAACACACTCGGGGCCCCAGGCACATAGCCAGGTCTTTAAAGCCTCGCGAAAGGCCAAGGGGGTCGGGGCCAACCTAATCTCCGAAGGGAGGGTGTTCCAGAGGGCAGGGGCTATGGCGGAGAAGGCACGTCTCCTGGTCTCTGCCAGCCAGCGGCACGCCCGGCCTGCCGGACCGAATCGGATGGGTAGAAACTATTGGGAAAGACGGTCCCTTCGGTAACCCGGTCCGAAGCCACGCAGGGCTGTAAAGGTGACAACCAGCCCTTTGAACTGCACCCGGAAACACACCAGTAAACAATACAGCTCACGCAGTAGTGGTGTTACATGTGTCGCAAATCCAGCACCACTTACTCCCTGCGCAGCCGCATTGTGCACCAGCTGAAGCTTCTGGATGCTCTTCAAGGGCAGCCCCACGTAGAGTGCGTTGCAGTAGTCCAAGCGAGAGGTTACGAGGGTGTGGGCGACTGTGAGCAGAGCCTCCCGACCCAGGAATGGACGCAACTGGCGCATCTCCCGGAGGCGTGCAAAGGCCCTCCTGGCCACCTGCTCTTCCAGCGGGAGCTGTGAGCCAAGTTACCAATGACTCTAAATTCCCTTTTCAATAGGAGAGAAGATCCGTAGCTCAGGGCTGAACGGTGGAGTTCTTGGTGCTCTCTGAGCCTGGTGGTTTGCTTGCGGGCGTTTCATGACCCGACTTCATCAACGGCCTATTTGGGTAACGAAAGGTCTGCAAGCAGGCTCAGAGAGCACCAAGAACTCCAGAGATTCCCTTTGGCTCTGGTTTATTTTTTATTATTTATTTATGTATGTATCAAATTTGTCACCGCCCATCTCTGGGCGGTTTACAAAGTGGTTAAAATAAATTAAAATTACAATATACAATAACCTTAAATAAATGAAGAATAAGTAGATCCAAGGGTAGACGTTACCAAGCATGGATAGGAGAGAAATCTGTTCGGTTCGCCTTGGAATGCAGATCTGTCTGTTGGAAATGCAGCAAACTGGGTCTGCCTTGGTTCCGTAAGGAGAAGGCACTGGGCTAAGCAGGGCTTGGGAGAACCGGAGGGGATGCGAGAGACTTCCCGGGCGTGGGGAATGGCTTTCCAGGGGTGGGGGGCTTCCCAGACTCGCCCAAGCAGAACCCATCAGAGCAACTACTAAAAACAATGCACAGTTTAGGGGCTGGAGTAATTTCCTCCTGGCCCAGTTCTTGGGGGCTTTGGGCAGACGGGCAACAGCTGAGGGCATAAAACACTTTCCCCATCCTGGCACCCCAGATGTGTGAGACAGCCACGCCTCCAAGTTTGTGCATCAAGACTTTTCGAGGGCGCCTGGTTGGGCACGCATACGAGAACCCCAGTTTCAACACCTGCCTTCAACTCTAGCAAAGGGAAGGAAGATTCTTGGCAAAGTTGAAGGCCTATTTTTGATTTCCCAGGGCTGTTACTGACATCTAGTGGCCCATAAAGCGGTTTTCTGCTCTTTTTCCAAAGCCGTGAGCCCACAGCAGCTCAAGTGGATGGGTGAGCCCCAGGAGAAAGGACACGCAGTCTGTGGGCTAGAGCCAGGGAGGCCAGGGGCACGGGGGGGGGGGAACGACTCGGCTTCTGCACTTGCTCCCAAAGCAACGGCACACGACAGAAGTGGCGAGGCTTCAGCTTGCATGGTTGAGGACACCATCCTGACCTTTCTGACCGCCCCCCTGGGCCCGTTTGTATTCACTGGTTCACCTGATTCACTGCGGCTCAGACCCTGCGTTTTCCGGCTGTTCGGCTTGCCCTTGATCCGGAACTGCTGCTGGATCTTCGGGTTGACCTGGAACTTCCAGCGGTTCGGAGACTTCCGCTTCACCAAGAGCTTCTGCCTGACTCTCTGGAGCATCTGCCCGGCCTGAGCCTTCTTCCGGCCAGCCAGCACCTTCGGACTGGTCAGGAGCCCCTGGCAGCCCCGAGGGCTCGGTTGGCACGGAGGCAGCGGGATCTGTGGGCTCCACTTCCTGGTCAGGCATTTGGACAACTTCTTGGAGAACTTCGGAGGCTTGAGGCAAAATGCCAGTTTCAAAAGCATCCAGCCTCATTTCCATCACGTTGCGAATTAAGCCTATGTGAGGAATCAGCCCGGGTTGAGAATGTAACCTGCGAGGGGCTTTAGGGCTGATCACAGCCAACCCCAACCCGTCCCCCTCCCCTAATGCAGCTGCTTTGCAATGGAGCAAGAGTTGAATCTCCTTCTCATCAAAAGCTCTGACGACCATCCTGGTCACTCTGGGCTTGGAATAAGACTATTGGGCAGTGGAAGCCACGACCGGGAGGGGTGAGGGGCGGGTGGGTTTGATTGGCTTAGTCTCTGCTTGCTGCTTTTTTTAAGGACGCTATATCGTTTTATCAGTCCAGCCTGTTCTTTGTTTTCTGTTCTTACCTCTTCCTGACTGCAGTGCGGTATAAAGTTATCCCCCCTCCTTTACAAACAGCCACCCATTCTATAAGGGACGATGTTCTTCAGCCTGGTGGAAACCCAAGATCATTTCATCCAACGATGGCAGGCTAATTGGCTCGGTCCAGATGAAGTTGCCTCCCCACCTCTAAAGACTAAAAATCTCTCTCAGGTGGAACGTGCCAAACCTCCCCAGGGAGCTGACCCCAATCTCCCAGAATTCCCAGCTAGGAATTCTGGGAGTTGTAGTCTGTACATCTGGAAGCTGCCTTTTTGAGTAAGGAATCACCAGCTTCAAACGGGGCAGCCAGAATGGAGGCAAAGCAAACGGGAGGGAGCCCCAGCAGAACCCCCTTCTGCCCCACTCGCAGCCCCCAACAAGGAGAACCGAGGAAGACGGGGAGCCCACACGCAGCTGCCCCCTCGCAGGGGAAAGCATTCTGAATATGGGGCCGGGGAGGTGGAGACGGATTCAGCCGCCTCCTGCTAGGGGTGCCTTTGCTCCTCTGGAGGGAGCGCCTGGGGCTGGAAGCCCCCTCGGTCTAAAGAGAGGGGCATTTGCTAGCCTAGTCCCTGTTTGTTTCGCTCACGGGAACGGCTTGAACGTGGCGCAGGGTTCCGGCACAACTTTGTCCCCAGCGTTTTGGTGCTGGGGGGCCTTTCTCTGGCATTAAAGGGAGAGGTCCAGGGTCAGCCCCATGGAGCTGGGCAAGACCAAGAAGCAAGAGCTACACAGATTTGATGCTGGTTGGGGGTCAGTGCAGAACAAGAATTTGCCAGCCCCAGTTAGAGCAAGCTTGCTATGGAAGCATCTCTCGGAGTGCTCTGAAAGGCCCCCTCCCAGGCTTCTCCCTCCACCCCCCACCCCCCACCTCCACTGCGTGGCCATTT